GCCCCTGCGGTTTTCTTGGCAAGGATTTTCAGAAGTGCTTTGCCCTTGCCTCCTTCTCCCTAGGGCTAAAGGGAGTGACTGGCCCAGGGTCACCCAGCTGGCTTCGCGCCTAGGGAACCGGGACTAGAACTCGTGGTCTCCCGGTTTCTGGCCCGGTACCTTAAATACACGTATTTTGCCCAACCTTTTTGGGGTTGTTTGGTTTGGTGCTTCTTTTTTCTGGGTGTCTGTGACTCATTTCTTAGTTTACTGTTCTTGCTTTTAAAGCGTCAGCCCCCCAGAATGACTTAGAAGCGGGTGGCCTCTGAATTAAAAAAATACATCTTCCCATTAAAATATATGAAAACAGGGCAAAGAGAGGGAAGAACTAGCAACAGTGAAGCTTCAGGCGGGAGGAGGACTCACAGTCTCCTAGTTTCTAGCCTGGTGCCATAACGGTTATGCCAAACTGGCTCTCCCATATATATCTATTTACTTTTAGTCCTTTAAAAGACTTGTACCGCTGCCCATCTGATGTACCACAATCCCAGGCAGCTCACAAAACTCTGCTCCAAGTATCAGAAAGCCATAAAAACCATGGCAAAAATCCCCTTGCCCCGAAGGCACACGCTGCCCACCCGCCAGAAACGCCCTTCCCTACCCTAGAGCTTGGGGAAGAGCTGCCTCTTCGAGGCCCTCTGGAAGGCTGGGCGGGTGGGGGCCCGCCGGGTCCCAGGAGATGGGTGTTCTGCAAGGCGGGGGCCGCTGTGGAGAAGTCCTGCCCCGAGGAGGGCTGCTGAGATGCTCCCTGGGCGTGCTCTGGCTTTCCCGTGGCTGTGGCCTTTCAGAGGGCCTCCGAAGACGGAGATACCCACTCCGTAAAGGCATCGGGAACCTCGGCGTCATGGGGAGCCAGGAGTGTATCTGGAGTGCGTGGCGTGTCACGTCACCTGAGCCAGTCAGTTGCGTAGTGTTAGAGCTCTTGGGTGTGAGCAGGTGTTCTAGCGTAAGTGTGCACAGACGCGTGCTTCTAAAGTCTCCGCCTGCGTTCTGCCCACTTTTCCTTCAAAGGCCCCGCGTGTTAGTTTACCCACGTGAAGTCCAGCGTCCCCTGCGGGAGTTTTTACAAAAAGCAGCACCGGCTTGCCTTTCAGGGAGTCAGGCGGTGTCCTAGTGAGTGGGGCAGAAAGGCCGGCCCCTCTTCCTCCTCTCTGGCTGTGGGGTTGCGTGGGCTGCAGGGGCGGGTGGTCGTCTGACCTTTGCCCTCAGGCTCTGGATTGTTGGGCTGGAGGGGAAGGGACCCACTCCCTGCAGCATCAGCGCCCTTCCTCAGCCCCTCACAACGTCTGCTGGCGGCGCCCTCTTGCCTCCTGAGGAGCGGGCGTAGGTCTCCCCCCAACCGGGAAGCCTGGCCTGGCCCTTCTAGTGGCCCCTCCCTGGCCCAGCTCTCCAGCCATGGCACTCCCCAGGGAGGAGGTGGGAGAAGAAGTCTGAAAGGCGAGGTCTTAAGAGCTTTTAAGAAAGGTCTCAAGTGGGCAGCACAAGGACCTCCGGGCAGGTGCGTAGCAGACATGAGCGGGAAGGTAATTTTCCCCAGATAAACCTTATCTGTGAGCAGAATTATTGGAGAAGGGGAAGTTGTGCAAAGCAGGAGCATGGAAGGGAGTGGAGGAATCCCTTCTTTTCTGTCAGACCGAAAGCATCAGCCGTCCCGCTGCATGGAATTGAACTGGAACAAAAATGAGTGGGTTGGGGCTGCGGAGGTGGCTGTGGGCAGGCAAACGGGCTTCATCACCAGGCCCCAGCCGAAGCACCGGGCAGGTGGCAGAACGATCCCTTTCTCTGGCTCGTTCCCCGGGTCTCGAGTGAGTCTTCCTCCAGCAAAACTTCCCCGGCTGCCGTCCCTGAAGTGGCTACCGCTTTGCTCCCAGATCTCTGCCAGGCGCCAGAGCGTCCATTCCTCCTGCGCTGGTCCGTATGAGAGGATTCAAAAGAGACCCCCTGGGCGCAAGAGCAAGCAACGTCCAGCCGTAGCATCAAGACCAGGAATTGCCTGGCACACTTCCTCTACCTGGAACTTGCATTCCAGGCTCCTTCCAGCCAAAGAGCCCCAGTTTGAATCCTGTTCAGGACCGAACACCTAGAACGAGTTCTGTTCCGTGCACGACCCATCTCCATGCCTGGGAAGTTTTGCGCGTCCCAGCAACTAAATAGGTAAAGCAAAACAGCTTCAGTACAACTCAGGCCCTGTGGGAAGCGCGAGAGTAATAAGGATGGGGAGAATTTCAGGGTGTCCCCCAGAGCCTGCGTAACAGAAGGACTGAAGGATGAGCCGGGAAGGGTATGGTGCTCTTTCCCCCGTGACCCTGCCGTTTTTACTCAAGGCATTTTGCAGCAAACTCCCCAAATCGGCCGTGCCCCGGCAATTCCGTGTCTGTTTCACAGGTATTTTGACACCAGCCTATCTTGCTGTCCCGTTCGGGCCCTTTCCGCTGCTCAGGGCAGTGGTCCAGATAAAAGCATCCTGACCGATGGACTGTCTTGATAGTTGGCTGTAAAGATTGCCAGGATGGCAAGGATTGCCGCGCTCATCATATTCTTTCTTTCCCAATGCCCAGATCAGTCCCTGGAGCTGCTGCAGAAATGTCGGTTGGATGCCGAGCGATTCCTCTCTCCAGCACACTTAAGGATGGGCGAGATTGAGGATCACCTGGCCCGAGCTTATGCAGCAATGGGTATGAGGCCTGCGGCGTATCCTTCCTGCTGTCCCATTCTGCTGTCCCTCCCCGCACTGCCCTGCCCGCCCGCCCGTCCGTGGAGGCTGTGTTTTTGGGTTGAGGTCATCAGCAGGCTCTGGTTGAATTGGACCACGGGGGTCAGCGAAGCCTGCGCTTCCCTTCTTTCCAGCACATTTAGGAACGTGCCAGGTAGAAGCGTAAGAAAACAGTGCTCTGTGATGTTCCGTTCCTATCAGCCCTTCAGGGGTCTCAAGGCCATTACCTAGGGCGTAATTCCCATTTCAAACACCATGTAAGGTTGGGCTGAATAACGGGCTCCGGGCCACTGAGCAGGACTGGAACCCAGGCCTCATCTCAGGCACCACCCTGGGTTTGTCGTGGTAGGATGGACTGCAGCTTCCTAACCCTGCAAGTTCATTTGACTTTCACAGCTCAGTCATTGCACTGTGGTCGTCTTCTGCTTGCTAGGGTTCTGTCCTACCTTTCCTGTAGGTGCTCCAGCTGCACACATAACAAGCCCTCCAAGTTTCCCCCGCAAGACCAGCCCTGTGCGGTAGGCAGGGCTGGGAAAGATTGACTGATCCAAGGTCACCCAGGGCATGGCTGGAGAGGGGGGGTGTCACTTCGCCCTGGCCCTAGTCTGGCCCCTTGACTGCCACCGCACAGTGCTTCTCGACTGCTTCCATCTCAAAAGCTTCAAGTGGCGTATGCGAGAGCAACAGTGATACAGGTGGTCCTCGCTTAACGACTGTAATTGGGACCGGCAACTCCGCTGCTAAGCGATGCAGGTCGCAAAGCATGGTGTCACATTTGTGACAGCAGTTGCAGGGGTTCTGGTTGCTGTCGTTAAGCGATTCCCGCATGGGTGTTGGGCGTGATGTCATAGGATGCCATTGGGGACCTCCTGCCGGCTTCCCCGTTTGCCAGTACCACTGAGGCGTGGAGATAGGATGACCAAGAAGCAGAATATATCCTGGACTTCCAGGGGAGGAATGATGAAGTAGCACATCTCCAAATGAGCGCAGATGACCGCAGCAAAGACTGAAGAACCGGCAAGTAGATGGGTCCTGTGGAACCTCTCTGGATAAGGAGAAGGTGGGAGATTACCCACATGTGCTCCAGATGGCTGCTTCTCGCAAGGAGACTGCAGGACAGGAGTTTTCTGCAGGTTTGAGTGCTGGGAGACGAAGGGAAGCCATCATGCTCTCAACCACGGTGGAGGATTTTAAGGGACAGTGGGTTTGCTAACCTCTCTAACTATTTAACTATCCTATGGCTAATAGAGATCCTCAAAACAACAAGTCTGAAAAGCCACCTGGTGAGTTTACTTCATTCTTGAATAAAAGAAAAATTAACTATAAGCTTACGATTTTAAAGAATTGGAAATGGCAAAAAGTGAAATAAGATTCTGATCCAAGAAAATTATAAACAGATTAAGGGACCAGTCAAATTTGAAATATTAGGATTTTTACTATAAGATTTTGGAAATAATTATATAAATAAACAGCCTTTTGTGGGAACTAAGTTGTTTTGTTTATCCTAAGTCATAACAGAAATTTGAGACTTTACGATTTCAGAAATTGGACATTGTTGTTGTTGTTTAGTCGTTAAGTCGTGTCCGACTCTTCGTGACCCCATGAACCAT